GCTTGAGTACTACTTTAACTTCAAGATGGTTTGTTCGTTGAAAATCGCACTATCATGTTGGCATCAAGCGCTTAAACAATAGTGACAAATGACCAGGAGCTTCCTCTACATTGATTCTAGGTTGATGAAATCAAAGGTCATTGATCATAAAGACCACATTGAGAGACTTGTGTTGTTCCTCACATTTCTCCCATAGTTGATGAGCAGTGAAAGCATATGTTTTTGCCCCCTGGTATCTTAAATCCACAAACCACATGAGTTTCTGGGAGGAGACTTTGAGCAAGTGGCAAGAGATGACTGAGGTCTACTGTCTGTGATCTTTCCTCAAGGTGATCCTTCTGTAACTCAGGAGCAAAGAACAAATATCTGAGTCAGGAATCAGCAGAAGGTATGAGGCTAGAAGGAGGTATAGTAATAGTAGGAGGTTTCAGAACTGGAAGGATCCATTTATTCTGAATGAAAAGTAAGAGTATAAAGAAAGACCTTTTGAATATCAGCAATATCAGAACAGAAGGGGAGAAAATCACCCATTGAAATCAAAGAGAACTGGAATGGTGGGAGTGGACTGAAAAAGGAGATGAAGGTAGGGAACAAAAGATGGTGGGAGCTGTCAGATGAAACCTGAATGGCAGAACTAGAATGCATCATGTAGAGAATGTTTGATTCAGTCTGTGTTAAACCTCAGATTATGCAAAGGAACAAGTAATAGGTTTATTCCATGCTAAAAAGAGAAGAGAGAAAACACAACGTTTCGGCTGTGGAGCCTTCTTCAGCTCACACCTGTTGCAGCGTGTTGCAGACTACGCATGCTGACGCAGCCACCCACTTGAACAATCTCAGATTATGCTGCTCAAAGCTGCTCATGGTAAACTGCACATGCCATGGTTTAAGACTATTTTCATTCCTTTTGTATGGGTGACAAAAAGGAAGTTAACTCAATATTTATTGAAAAAAATCACTGCACAAGTCCTGTAACATTCATCTTTCACAGTGACATTGCAATCTCTTGTATTTATGCCACGTGAATCTTTTCTAGATTATGATGATTGTGTTTTTAACAGTTTAAAACTTCATTAATGAATGGATAATCCAGCTGTTTTCTCTTAAGTAATCTTTTAATAATTGCAGCACTGTACATTAACACTAGGGAACACTTGCCAGTGCAGAATACTATGAAACGGTACTTCTATACTGTATGAGGTATGCATATAAAGTACTATGTAAGGGCTTTTGGTTATCTTACTAAGCCAATTCAATTTTATTGTAGTATAAGTTTCAGTATAAGTATAAATGTGGGTTTTAAAATGTTCTGTGTTTTTTTCCTATATTTAAAAAAGAACATGTTTTAATCCTGGTATATTTTTTTCCCCTCTTCACTGTTTTGTAACTAGGCAACACCTCAGGAATTGAAAAGTTATATCTCTGTGTCCTGGATAAATAATTTATGCTCAGATAAATTAATAAACTGCAAAGATACCTAAAGCATTTATAAAGAGCAATTACGAGCAAGGACAGCACGTCCTCTTCACCAGAATACTTAAATCAAGGAGAAGTATAGTAAGATAACCTACTGTGTGATTATTAACAAAATCACATATACTGTACAAAGAAAGATTTTAACAGTTTATATAAATACTGATGAATAAATTCATTGTTCTACTAATCTACTGTATATGTGGTTTAAGTATAGTATGTGGTTTAAAGAGCATCACATTTAACACATTTGAGGTCTGCTAAAATTATTCCAAGTTTGTTTGTGCATTGGCTGATGAGGGTAGCTGCCCTGAATTATCCCAAATGTTCCTTTATGTAAATATTATACAGAATTCATGATTCTGTTAGTTCAATTTGATTTTATTTTTTGCAACACTTATCATTATGTGTTTTACACAATTCATATTTTGCTAAGTCACTTTGGATAAAGATGTCATCTAAATAACAATAATAATAAGAAATGTAATGACATTGATGGACAAAGTTTATCATTAAAAAAGAAAGTACTGTGCACATAGATAATCACTTTGACTTACAGGAGAATTGTTCATACATGGTCAGAACAATGATCAGAACAATGATCTCCGATTCCTGACCTGTCGGTCTGTTTGTGCACCTTGGACTTACCCTGTGATTGTTCAGGATGCCTGCTTCCCAGATGACAAAACGTTAATCAGCACATCCTGTTTTCCTGATTGGCCCGTACACCTGCCAGGCAGCTGGTGCTACAACACCATCCAAACATGCTGCAGTCCGCGTTCCTTATCCATGATAAGTGGAAAAGTGCCCCCTATCGAAATACATACAGTAAATACAGTGTGTTGTGATTATGAAACAGTCAAGATTAAATGGACATTTCTGAATATGAGCAGGTTTTTTTGTGACTTTATTGCCAAACGAATGACTGCATTATAGTGTGTCTCTTCTTGCAACAGAACCCATTCAGTCATCTCATCTCATCTTAAATATGTAGCTCATTAGTGCTTTCTCTTCTGAAGTTTCTCTTTTATTTTGTGAAGGTCAATATGTTCTGGATCCACATTTTATGAATGGAATAACAAAATAAAATGGATGTTTATTTCAGAGATTGCTAGGTTTACAGTTATACAATCTGTGGATACTGTGTGTGCACAAAGAAAATCATAATCAAAACACAATTCATCACAATGGCATCACAATGCAATCATGCTGTTAAAGACCTTTCTCTGTTTACTTTTTTATACAGTTCCTGCTTTTGCAACAGTCTAATCAGTCCACATCCAGAAATTTCTGTTTAAGCATTCAATAAATTAACATAAAATGTGAATCTCTACATACAGTGGCATTTCTCAGATCATTCCACCTCTTGTGGGTTCAGCAATGTAATTTACTGACTGCACTATACTCCTGATCAACAGGATTTTCTTTTCACTAATAAATCTTGAGGAAGCTCATCATGAATTGTGAAATCAGGGAACTATGAAGAAACAGATGGTACTTAATGAAGCACTAAGTGATTTTAATGCAATTAACATTTAATCCTGGAAAATACCCCTTTTAGTGCTTCAATATTGTTTCAACAGGGACCCAAGGGAATAGTCTGCATCTCAGTTGTTTCACAGTGTCACACAATTACAAGACAAAGGTGGATAACCCTGTTCCCACAGCATTTTCGAGTCCGTAGAAAACAGCCTATGAGCAGTCACTAATGAGTGATACCACACCTCAGTGAAAGAGTGCAGCTGGAGACTGGTGAGACATAACACTGATACCCACAGGAGCCCAAACAGCACATGCAGGAAAGAAACTTTTTATACAAATTGGAGACACTGATAGAGTTGCAAAAACATCCTAATGTTTCCATCCATCCATCCATCCATTTTCTAACCACTTGAACCAAACCATGGGCGCAAGCCAGGATACACCCTGAATCAGGGGCAGATAGACGTGCAGTACACACTCACACCAAGGCCAGTTTTTCCAGAAGCTTATTATCCCACCTGTATATTTCTGGACTGCGGGAGAAACTCTGAGTACCTAGAGAAACCCCATGTGAACACGGGGAGGTCTTTTAAACTCAACCAAGGGCCCCAGTATTGTGAGGCAGCACTTCTAACTACTGTGCCGCCTGTTCTAATAATGTTCTAATCAGTCTAATTGCTAACAGTCCCAGCCCAGGGCAGCGTTATACACCCTGATAGCCGCCGGGAGGAAAGACCTGCGGAAACGTTCCCTTGAACACTGTAGCTGGAGCAGTCTGTTGCTAAATGTGCTCCGCTTCCCAGTAACAGTCCCATGAAGCAGATGAGAGGTGTTGTTCATGATGGCTGTGAGCTTGGTCAGCATTCTCCTCTCAGCCACTACCTCCATGGGGTCAAGGCTCATCCCCAGCACAGTGCCAGCCTTCTTGATGAGTTTATTGAGCCTATTTGCATCTTTTGTCATGATGCTGCTGCCCTAGCACACCACAGCTTAGAAGATGGCCGCCGCCACCACTGATTCATAATAAATGTGTAGCAGTGTTCCACACACACCAAAGGACCTGAGTCTCCTAAGAGTTGGCTCTGACCTTTCTTGTACAGGGCGTCAGTGTTACCAGACCACTCCAGCTTATCATCCAGGTGTACCCCTAAGTACTTGTAGGAATGTACGCCCTCTATGTCCTCACCCTGGATGGAAACAGGGCTCAGCGGAGACTTATTCCTTCGAAAGTCAAATATAATTTCTTTGGTCTTGCTGGTGTTAAGCTGGAGATGGTTAAGATGACACCACTCCACAAAATTGGTAATCAAGCTCCTATATTCCTCCTCCCTCCCCTCTCTAATACACCCCACAATTGCAGAGTCAAAGGGGTTGTTAAAGATAAAGATAATTAAAGGGGTCATCTTAACCCGAAGGAATTATAAACCAGAGGAGGCCATTCAGCTCATCAGCAAGTTTGGTAATTAGCAGTTAATTGATCCAAGGATCTGATCCACCCATTTACTGAATGGCTTCAACCACATGGTTGGGTAACTTGTTCCATATTCATTTAACCCTTTGAGTAAAGACATGCCTCCTATTCTCTCTTCTAAATGCACTTCCATGCACTGCAGTTTCCTCTTGTGTCCACTGGTGTGTGTATCGTTGTTCATGCACGCTGTACACTGTGCGTGCAAAACCTTGCACTTGTCTACTTTAAATGTCATCTTCAGGCGACAAAATATAATCTATTGATTCTTCAATATTAACTCTCCTCATATTTGGTATCAGCAGACTTCATTGCTTATACTTACTATACCAAAATATGGATCATTGATAGAAATTAGGAATAGCAGTGGTCCATGTACTGTACTTTTCCCTGTGGTATGCCAATAACTAACTAAAAAACTTTTAAAAAAACTCAGTTCTTCATGTCATGTGCTCTGTATGTGTCCAATACTGTTTTTGTGTGTTCATAGAATTCTAAAAAGATGATTAGGCAAGCGATAGGGACATTTCTTTATTTTTATTTGGTTAGTGTTCAATGGACACATACAGTACTGAAAATGAAAGGGTAGGGAGGGATTAGTTGTCCAGTGATTTTTCAGCTCTCAGAGACTGCAGCCTGTGGCCTCCATGTGCTGTGGCGAGTGAGGGACACACCTTTCGTCCAATTGCCCGTGACCACTGAATCTCCAGCACAGGCCTACATAGCCTGTGAGGTATAAAAAGACAATTTGGAAGGTAGGAAGTGTGCAATGATGCAGATTGGTGTTGAGACATGAAGAATACAATCAGCTAGTCCTGTGGGTATAACATAAGTATTTTAAAATTCTGATTAAAAACAAAAACAAAACACAAGACCTTTTACAGCATTAGGGCACAGACAGTGCTCAGTCTTTAAAAGCCATCACCATACAGTATATACATTACATACAGTACTTGTAACCATATACTGTATAAATCAGAACTGTAATAAAAACATGCATGTCCACATATTTTAAATCGCATTCAGGCAGAACCAGCTATCATGAATTCAGTTAAAATGTTTATATTTAAGACAACTCACAGGTTCAAAACACCAATGGCCTCCGGTGTGACTTAATGAAAGCACAGCAGTAGTTATTAAATTCTTCATACCAGTTAAGAACATAAAGGCCATAATAGCAGGCAGTGATGGAACAAATGCTTTAGATACTTAGATACACTGCTTTGCTTTCAGATACTCTTATAGTATCCATAATCCATTCAGTCAATTCTGGGATAGAGGGCACGTTTGTCAGCGTTGTTTATTGTTACCCATCACTTCTCCCTTGTTGTGCACTTTCCTGGACCCTGCTCATCTTCACAACAGGGTTTGAAAACCTCATTTCTTCTGCCCCACAGCAATGCCATTTCTATTCTCAGTGTCTAGAAAAAAGCATAAAACTGATAAATTCTTACAATCCATAAAAATGATTAAGGTGCCTATTTTTGCTAAATCAGTACATTTCCACAACTGTAGTTGATTTTCTATGTAAACCAAAACCATGCGATGTTCCATAAATATTTCCAGCTTGCAAATGCAGGAAATGAAAATTGTGATGGAAAAGAAAAGTTGAGAATTAATTCCCAGATCAGATATTGTACCAGCTATATTTCACTCTGATTATAATTTGGATGCTGGGGAGCATACCTGTGTGCAATTAAAATGGCTGATAATGGCTGATATAAACCAGGGCTGCAACAGCACATTATTACAATACATTGTAAATGTTTCCCTTCTGTAAAAACACACAATCAAAATCCGTACCGTTCAGAGCCCAGTGCAGTCCCCAAAAACAACAAAGATCTGTTCTAAAGGCCTTACAAGAATGTTCATATTTGATCTTTATTTTACATTTTCATGGTGCACCGTTTCGGTCAATGTTTTGCTTAATCTTTCCCTCAAGACTGTGCCTTGTGATGAAGTGATTACAAAGTCATTATGTCCTTATGCAATTTAGCTAAATGGAATGATACTGACTAGTATCCTAATAAAAGAAAATGATTTTCAATTAAGTTGATTACTGGGATCACAAACAATTACCAGTTTAGTTTGGGAACTGAAGATGCTGTTTACCGTGTGCTTATAGAAGGCTAGGGCTCATGCCTTATAAGATGTATTAAAATGATTCAGAAGTGTCTCAAAAATACTTTTGCCTCTTCCTCCTGGATATGCAATACCTATCTGAGGAATGCTAGTCAACAACAAAATAATTTACATCTGGGCCGAACAGTGCTCCTGTCTCAAAAAGATTAAATCTGTGTCTCCCACATGACTCAATCAGTAAAGGTGCTCTCTCTAAGTGCAGGGTGAGCCCTATGGCCCTGGTGTTACCAGTTTGAATGTGGGTCACCAATGATCTGGGACTGTGAATCTCCAGGAAGCAGAGAATAATTGGCAGACAGATAATCACGATGGACGGGGGTCTCTTGGTTTTCAATAAAAAACGGGCTTGCCTGGTGGCACGTGTTGGATTGTAGCATCATGGGTGAAAGACGCTCCAGCAATTTAGAATTTAAAAGATGAATAGCTATGACAGGTCAGTATGTTGGGAGTGTGTGCCTGCAGGTACTCATTCTCCCCATGAAGCATAGTCGTTGAAAATGGAAGCCGAATCTTACACAACTGCCCGTTCCAAACTTGGTGGGTGTGAGATTACTGATCAGCACGTTGAGTCAGAAAAGCTTTGAGGTAAGTCCTGGAAGCTGCTATTTTTCTGCTGGCTGTGGCCACATCATTGGCGCACACATTGGCTGCCAGTGTTGGGGTGAGGGGATCTGGCAGATGCGTTCTCTGTTTTATCAAACACAATGGGCTCCTGTCACCAGGACGACTGACCATGGTTAGAATGAGCTACATCGAATCCTACACCTGACAGAAAAGCTTTGCTGTTTTCAGTCCTGTATCACAGCGTGAAAAGGTCATAGCGTAAAAGATGTTTATCACATAAGATATATTTTTTTAAGTTGTGTTCATCTTTTGTCGCTGGTATGTGAGTTCCCTGATTTGAAATGTAATCTGATTTGCATATTCAGTGCTGTGGAAATGTTGTTCTTGTCTTTTGCCAACTTGTGCCATTACCAGTGAAACATGTTATAAGCTCCTGGTGATAATTACCTGAACTGCAACCATGTGGCATTCTTAGTAATTTCATTTTTTATGTGAGGCAGTGCCCTTCTCTGCATTGCCACTCCTGTGAAGGACTTACTATTGAATGTATTTGGCCAAAACTAAAGCATCATCCTTAACTCTCTGGCACAGTGAAAAACTCACCTGACCTCACCAAAGAAAGCAATCAGGTGTAACCATATGACATCGCCTTTGCTTTAAGATGTCATTAACTATCAGTATACTATTGAATATCATTAAGACATCTTAATTTTTTATTAAGAATTTGAATTGGCATTTATGTTTTCTTATATACCCACCCAGTTTGGAATTGTTCTTTTTTAATGGAAAGAAAAAAAAATAGGTAGTTTACCTTGTGACAGATTCATTGCACTGCCATACATGAGAGTTGGAGGACAAGGGTGTCTTTCATTGATGAAACCAGTACAATGAACTACAGCCTCACAAAACTCTTTAAAGGAGTCCTCGTTCTGCAAACCGCAGACAGAACCCTGCCCTGTTAATACCCACAATACCCTTGGTGGTCCTGTAACATTGCTGTGACCCTCTTTCAGCTGTGTTCCACCAGATGGTTCTAGGCCACAGCTAGCTAGAGACATGGTCCAAGCTTGAATCAGAAACACCTGGACCTTTAGACTGAATGAGTGCTCATTATCATGATTCAGTTCTCAATCATGACGGTGCTCGTGTTAAACAGTTAAGGAAAATCAGTTCCACCTATTGGTAATTCTCCCACTGCCATTCACATGCCTGTGATTCTGTCTGTGCATCCTGTGAATGTGGTTCAATTCAGTTTATTGTCATATGCACAAGTGCAATGAAATGTGTATTTGTGTGTATGCTCCAATACAAAGCACACAAATACGTTACAAAAATACCAAAAACTTGAACACAGAACAGCAGCAGCAACAACAGCAAGTTAAATAACATACAGTACATCTTAGGAAAAAAAAACACATCAGTGTGAGCCAGTGGTGGGGGTAGAGTTCAGTAATCTGACAGCTTGTGAGAAGAAACTGTCTCTGAACCTGGACATACAGTACTGTATGTGTCCTTATGCTCCTATAATGCTTACCAGAGGGAAGGGGGGAGAAAAATGAGAAACCAGGATGACTGGTATCCTTAGCGATCCTTCCAGCCCTCCTGAGACAGTGAGTTGTAAAAATGTCTGAAATAAAGGGGAGCTGTACTGCAGTGATGGACTGGGCTGACCTGATCACCCCCTGTAATGCCTTCCAGTCAGACAACGAGCTGCTGCCAAACCCCACTGTAATACCACATGAGAGCACAGTCTCAAAAGCGCACCTGTAAAATGTGGTAAGGACAGTTGAAGACAGACCAGTCCCACTTACTCAAACACATTTTTCCCATACATCAGAAGACTGGCATTCTTTCATGATCTAATGAATGTTTACAAAATGGGAAAAATAAGTCATCCTTGATACACCCACAGAATGTAAAAATAGGAAAAACCACATCTTCACTCTTTCTAGCCTACATTATATTCCTCCCTTTCATCCTAAAATATTTCTGAAAAACACTGTCAGGCCTAGTTATGGGAGCACTGCTAATTCCTGAACCCTACTGTCCCATTAAGCTCCTGATGTGCCTTTGTTTGTATTTCAGGTGAAGCTGATTAATTCCCCACACCTGTGTGACATTCTGAAATGCTGCCCTTCTAAAATTGTTTAAAGACCCAAGCATACAGAACCTACCTCAGAGCAGCAGGCTGTCCAAAATCATCTTTGAAAACCTTTCTAAATGTTGGGTGACAGTGCCATGGTTAAAGAATGTCAGAGGTAATGTCCTCCGGTGAAACTATGAGGGGAGATATTGTCAGGCTGTGGAACAGGCACAGTGTCAGCCTAAACAGACGGAGCACAAAAGCCTGGGGTGACCCCTAGCTGGGTGTTAAGGCTGAGAGGGTTAGGAAAACAGCCTTAACACTTCCTTTTTCTGAAAAGGCCTTGAAGCATGATAAGGCATACAGTTGGGACACAGGTTTGACATAAACCAAGGCTGAGAGTTTTTCACATCATTCAGTATTACAGTATTTTCTTTCAAAAAACCAAATTACTACTTTATTTCAGAAACGGATAACCTCACAGATACCAGATACAATATAGTAAAAATGTAGTAGCCTGATAATGAACATTTAACAATGCAGATCAGATAGTGTGTCACAGTACTAAAACAGGCTATAAAGTACAGTAGAATTAGTGTGTAGGCTTGGTTCTCAGCTGCTTTATAGAACTGTATGTCAACTGTACCATGATATACAGTAGGTACCAGACCAATCCAAATTTTGCTTAACACACACACAAAAACACGCACACATTCACATTAGGGCCAGTTTCCCAGAAGTCAATTCACCTCCCAGTATGTCTTTGGACTGTGGGAAGAAACCAGAGCACCCGGAGGAAACCCTTGTGAACACGGGGAGAACATGCAAACTCTACAGAGACCGAGTTTGCCCCAGAAATTAAACCCAGGGCCTCAGCTCTGTAAGGAAACAAGGCTGATGTCTGCATTACTGTACAACCCTTGCAAATACTGTACATATCTTTAAAATATCTTTAAAACATATTATGTTTTTATTCTGTATCTTTAAAACTTCTGACACAGGATTTTTATACAGTATATGTGTGTGGTAATGGACTTTAACATACTGTAGCATAATGAGAACATTTGTTCAGAAACCTAATTCTACGTCATTTTAAATCAGAAGCTGAGGCAATGTAATGGTCATGTGCTATAGTAGTGATCACTACAGGTATTTAAGCCTACCACAGCATCTAGCTATTTCAAATTTGCTAGAACCCATTTGCCTGCACCGACTGTTGGGACCACCCACAGACCAGCGCGACACAGATTCATTTTTAGTCCTCCGGCTGTTGTTTGCATTTAACTAAACCTTTTAAGCTTTTCATTTTTAAATGAAGGTATCCACAACAAAAACATACACACAAAAAATAATAACTTAGCACTATACTGTAGTCCTCAGCCAACAGAAGAGCAGGAGAAAAGAGAAAAGTTAGGGCCCATTCTTTGCAGGCCAAAAAAATGTAAAACAGCACCACTTTTCACAAATCGGCCCAGTCCAATCATCTAGGCACGCTTCCTGCTTCCACATCAAAGATGAAACACTCATAGTCCTTCAGTAGTCTCTAACCTCCTCTTCAGTCCCCACAGTCCAATTCTACGTCTTCCATCATATTTCCTCTGTCCTGGCTGTAAGCCACAGTACAGGGCAAGG